GTTGAGATCCTAGAGCTTTCGGGGTCTTCTTTGCCCACGCTGCAACGCATACTCGGCGATTCCGAGTTCCCGTACAAGAAAGTCTACCGCTTGCTCTCTTCTGGCTTCATCTTCAGCAGTATCATGTTCAATCGAGCCTCGGTCAAAGAAAGATTCGCTCACGATCGTAAAGACCCACTGTGGGCGGAGTCGCAGCGTTCCAGCGGAGACTCGGATGTCGACGCGGAGATACTCTTGGAGGAGGCGGAGTATGCGGCTAGGCAGCCAAGCTCTCCTGTCGATAATGAGCTGGACTTATAACTTTGACGCAACGTGAGTCCTACTTATCACGAAATGCACCGAAGACTGACCATGCTGCATAGCATCCGACTCCCCATGTCTGCCTAAATCGACCCCGCCTTCTCGCATGCATCATTGTACTTCGTACCTTCTCACCTCAAATGACACAATACCATGTTCCCATGACTGCTGTACGCCCATCTTGCTATGATATACGCATCAACGCCCGTCGTGGTATGCGACGGCCGTAAAGCGGAAAGCGCTCGGAGTGTGAGATAGAGATTGATTTCTACTGCATATTTACATCATAGAAGGACTGCCCGATGCATTGCACACAAATGCCGGTGGGGGTCGTTACAGCTCACGTCGAGGCGAACCAAGGATCTCGAAGAATATCAGCGGCACTTGGGCGCTCGGCAGGGTCAAGAGCAAAGACTCGGCGCAAAAGGGCTATAAGTTTATCCGCGTCGGCGTCGTCTGAGCAGCGTTGTCTGAGCATCGCCCGATACTCTTCCCATTCCTCGGCACATTTCTCCTCAGAAAGTTCTGTGATATCGAGGAAAGTAATCAGCTTTCGCGTTGCACGCTCTGTTGACCAAAGGAACCAACCTTCCAAAAGCTTTGGATCGTTAGCCCAATCATATAGCTGCTTCCACGACGCAGGGATATACCCAGATAAACGCGCCATGGTGATGAACGGGGCGGAGCCATTGAATGCCGTATAAGGGTACACGCCCCCTGTCATTAGGCAGAAGATCTACCCAGACTCGTCAGATTAGCGGCCCAAGAGGCGCACAATCAAACATACCATCAGGCCTACCGCCCATATATCGCACGCGCGGTCGGGCAACCTCACTGCGTCAGGCGTTGTTCCTTGAATAACCCATTCCGGTGGGATGATCTGATCCAGGAATCCCGTCGTAGGATGAGGTCGTTCTACGCAACAAGCTGCAAACAGAGGGCTCTATGAGTTGTGGTTTCATCCCGAGTATGCAAAAGGATACGCACAAGTTCCAAAATCGTAAATCTTCACGGATGGGGCTATCTTTGCACAGCCGATCACTCGGAGAAAGCTCATGAAACTCCATGGCTGCACAATATACGGCGGAAAGTGGGAAGAGAAGATATTCATCTCGGGATCTCGCGGTACCACGACGGTCACATCAGGCCTACTCCAAATCCGCTCTTTGTCGCTTCCATCGAATAGAGTTGGCAGTGCAAAGCCGACATTGGCGAAATGCAGATCTCCGTGCACAATCCCAGAGCCATGAAGCTCAGCTACAGCCTCGACGAGACTGCGTACGACGGCTTTGTTAAGTGCGATTGACGAGTGCGAAGCTGTAGGATGAATTGTCTCGGAGACCGTCGTTGTGGGTACTGAGTGAGCCTCCAACGCTGAGTCGGCTGCGTTTTCTAGGAAGTACATCGCGGCCATCATGGGCGCAACGACTTCCATCACGGTGGCCTTATGGGTCCCATTGGGACCATCTATCGTGAACCAATCTAGCAGGGTAGCGACATGAAGCAGCGAAGGCGTAGCGGCAATGCGACGCAAAACATCGTCCTCGCCTTCGGAAAAGAAACCAGCCTTAGATATGCGGAGAGCGGCACAACGAGGTTGGCCTATGATATCGACGAGCCATACCGTGCTGTAGCCACCGAAGCCAAGTTTCTGCATGACGCGGTAGCGTGCCTTCGGACTACATATGACCATCCCCAAGGTGACAGGGTGAAACCCTCCAGGACCGTACTCTTCAATACGCTCGCCGGGGAGTTCACTGGCCTCTGGTGAGTAGATGAAGTCGTCTTCAGAGAACGCGGGGTGGGACGGAGCAAGCATTTCGAGACTGCCGAGGGTGGCGGCGGAAAGTCGAGTGAAGAGTCCGCTGTGGCGTTTAAGAGGATGCGATCGTGGGAGCCGGATCAAATTATGGGCGGCTTCTGTAGGTTCCGGCCTTCTCTCAACCACGATGGCTGAGGCTCATCACTGGCGTAGCTCTTTTTGAGTCTCCCTAATAGAGTATACTGGTGCTAGAAGCTACAACACGAGGTGAGGCCGACATGACTATTTCGCGGCACAATCGTGCGCTCTAATGCGACCAAGAGCCGCAACCAGAGCACGATCTCGACTCTCGTCTCGCCGGCGCACTCTGATCAGAATCCTTCGAGTTCGCACAGGACCACCTTCATAATGGCCAAGCACTTGATACTGCCAGCCCAGTGCGCCTCGTACGTCTATAGGTCAATGAACGCTCGGTAGCAGTGATTACTATGTAGACATTCGCCTCAACACATTTGATCTAGTGGTCCGAACTGATGACTCGCGTACGAAGTCAGCGGAGCCTGCTGGCCCTACGCCACAGTGGCCCGGTGTGCTCGGATTGCTCATGCTAGTTTCATGCAATATGACTCGCCCGCGAGCGTTCGAACTCCAGAGCCGGTCGCGCCACCGCTGCCTGGAGCATGAGATGACAGGATCTAATCTCAGCAGCCTTTGCACCGGACCTGAATAGTACGCCGCCGTCTTGGACTGGCAATTTCATCCCGCGGATGCTGATGCTTAGTACCCTCGCTTTTCACAAGTCCATCGATAGTTCACTACGGCGCCGTCTATCGCGGAGTGTGGCATTAAGTGAGCTCAATAACGAATATGGGATCCTCGCGCGAAGGCCGATTGTCACACTGAGAGTCGTCATTCACACGCGGAGTCGATGGTGCTGCTATCCGGACAATCGCGGTCTTGACCGGAGTGTTTCATAGTACACAGTGCGATCAGAACAGACAGGCCCAGAGGAAGCACCTTCGTGTCTCTGGTCTGTCCAGAGAGCCTATACTCACGAAGACACGAAAGGGTGCACCTTCTGGTGACGAGGCATCGATCCATCATCCACTACTTGAACCGAGCCCAAGGGCTACCCTGGCGCTGTCTCGCATCGTGGCTTAGGGGAGCCCAGGAGCTCGCCACACTTCTCCAGCGATAACGTGCACTCGTGCTGTTTCCTGGAATATAAAAGAAGTGGTGAACGGTAGTGGATATCCCCAGGTCCCCCAGCTTCTCTTCCCTGCGCCCTCGCGAACATGGCCGTGCGGTTCAATCCTCACTTTCATCCTCCTCCTCCTGCTAGGACCAACGCCTACGGGCATGACAGGATCTTTGGACCTCCCGTAATTTACCTCGTCCATCTTGACGGTACAGGTCTCAACTATGTCGAAGTCTTGTTCACCCGCGGCGCGTCTCCCACCGTTCAACAAGAGCTCCGTGTCATTCAGGTCGCGCTTCTGCGTTGGAAAGATAACCAGGCGGATCGCCCGGTAAGCTCCTGCATTATTTTCATATGATTTTGAAGATCTGAGATTGGATACGCTTGTAGTATAGAAACCCGGGGGCGACTCAACCACGAACGGACTGGAAATTTCCCAGTCAGACGCCTACAGGATTGGATGTTAGTCTTGTAATTGTAACGTCAGCATTAGAAAACTCTTGCGTGGTTCAACGACTAACTTGAAGTACTTACAGCCGAAGCGTTCATCAATCCCAGCTCAGCTCACGGCATGAGCCTCCTCACATCACTGCATTCCTCGCCAATCCTCGGGAGTGGACCCCTCACCTGCTAGTCGAACCTGATCCCGTCACTGGACTGTTGGTGCCTGTGAGACATCGCAGTGGAGATCAGGTAGTCGGGCGAGAGTTGGGGGCCGCCCTCCACATCTTTGACCAAACTCGCGTCGATCCGCCCTACGATCAACTGGTCTTTGTCCAGAATATCCAGCCGTTTTGGCATCGTGAGGAGCGTGCATCCACAATCATCCCGCGAGGAACATATCGCATCGTCGAACTGTTGCAGCCTCGAGTCATGAGTCACACTTTAGATGCGTACGAGAGTGCACGGGCCAGTTGCTACGACGCGAACGGGATCATTTTCCCTCACCTCAATGTCCCCCCGCTTCAGCACCCGGCCGGCTCGCACTGGGCTCCCCCGTACGGTGTGGACGCTCCTTGGGCGTGAATGATATGGCCTGTTCATTTCAACTCCAAGCAGTCCCATTTACTTTGCACGTACAGGTGTGATCCTGAGTTCAGTGTATTTCTTTGCGCAGTACTGTATATCCATGTAAAACGTCATTCTCCAATGAAATTCTTGATTCATCGCTCGTTGGTGGTCGTGCTTTCTGTCGTGCTGTGTCGTGCCAGTTAGCGCCGTGTGGGATTGCAAGAGAAGCAATCGGCAGCAAGAAGCTTGCAATGAAGTTCACGCATGACGGTTTGAGGTAGTAAAGGGTCTCGCTTAGATGTTCGGCCGTTGCTCTCACACTTTTCCGACAGCACTGAAGCGCCTCGCACTTCCGCGGATACAGACTATATTGCAGAGAACCTCAGTACGACAGGGTAGCAAAAATGCGATGAGAGAGTGAGAGAGACCGGATACATGCGAGGAAAACACGAGAGAGCAGAACGCCGAGGCCAAGGAGTGTATCGAAGGGAACAGAAGGAGACCGGTGCACCGTGAGCCCATGTAGGTCTGAACTGTGGGGAGGTGGCTGTCGATCGAACGTTGCCCGCTCGTCCGTCGAGCGGGGACCCTATGGCGAGCATCGTTCGCAGGCGACTGGTGCCGCTGCCATTGCTAGCGAGCAGCTACAGGTTGGTTGAGTGACTGGGCCCAGTCTGCAGGCAAACCCTAGGATAATATTGCGTCAGCGAGGGTTCATATACAGTCCTTGGACCGAACAGTGGATGTGGTTGCCGATGCGGCTTGGTGGCACTACGTTCAACATGCACAATGCAGGCACAGCCGCCTTTCGCGCAGACAACTCGCGACGCCGGGGGTAGAGAAAGGGTTGAGACTCACACTGAATTGTCCGCTCGAGCTAGCGTCTACCGTGACGTGAACAGAATGCGCGAAGTCGGTGGGATTGGAGACGCCGGAAAGGGGAGACCTGTTGTAGATATCGTCCTGCCAGTCGAAGAGTTCCGCGTCCGACTTAAGGTTCAGAATGTACCGCTTCCCGCGCGCCTCGATCAAGAGGCCGTACGGCTTGCGTTCCGTGCGCTCGAGCTTCTTGAGTTCGTCCAGCGGGACCGTGATCTGCGCCGGCGCCTTCTGCGAGTTCGTTCAGCGTCACGCCCGCGGATCGAGGCAAGCTCGCGGCGTACCTCGTTCTTGTGGATGGTCAAGTTCTGGTCACGCAGTACGAGGTACTTGGCGCGCCAAAGCCAGCTCGCGAAGGCGTCCTTCTTGAAGCTGACGTACCCGGACCGGACGACCTCCAGAGGCCGCGGCGGTTCGGACGACACGGGCAGCGGGTCGTGCGCCATCTCCTCTCTTCCGGTTCCCCTTCAAGTCGCGGGTGGTGGTGGAAGTAGAGAGGCAAGGTCGGGAGGCGAGGAGGACAATGGATGGTGGACTTGAAAGGCAACCAGCATTGGCAATATCAACCGAGCAACCAAGCGCTCCGCGCCACCGAAACTCCGCCATCGTCCCCTCATTGCCATCCCGCCCGTCTCGTTCGCTACTTCAATGATCCCTCAGACGGAGCCTGGAGGCACCTATGGGGTACAAGGCACTTAGGGCGGTGCCGGGGCAGAGCAAGAGCTTAAGCAGCGCAATATGTACGTGAATATGCACCGGTGACCGGGCCGCACTACCCGGCGGCGCGCTGTACGCTGCCGCACGGCGCGACGACCTTGGCTTAAACGACGATGATCCCGGCCCTCTGGACCGCAGTACCTCCCAATAATATCGTATTGTCCCCCTTGTGTTCTTCATGATGCTTCGCGCTATCTCTCATGCATTCACCCTAGCAATATGCTCCTTAAACAGAACTCAAGCTTGCGCTGGGTAGATGATATTGCGCCTACGGCTGCAAACGGCTTTTGCCCGTGCCCGCCCGTACCTAGGACAGCCCACCAACGACGAGATGATGTAGATAGTCATGCCGCTGCACTGGGGCTGATCATAGCCTCCTGACTGCGACAGTCATTGTGCGCATGCGTCTGCTATTCTGTCTATAGCCCGGTGGCCATGAAAGGCAGCGCACCCATTTGTTTCGAGACGATGTCGCTATACATCTTACTATACGGTCCGTCATGACTCTCGGAACTCGGTTACATTGTTTGCATGGCACCCTCTGAATAATTTGACTATACAGTGCATGCGCTAGCGCGTATAGAGTTGCATCGCCCGCACCATGCACGAGGCCTAGGATTCGTTATGCAAGCTATAGCTTTACATCGTTGTAGAGTTGTATGTCGACCAACGAACTTCGATATCCACTGAAACCGACGCTATGTGGGTGCTCCGAGATCTGGACCCAACGGACGGGGTACCTAGGTTGGTTTCATCCCCCATACTTTTCGAGATGTTCACCATAGAAAGCGAGTCCGCTCGCCTGATCCTGGTACTGATTGTGATCAGCGAACATCCTGTGAATTGTATCTGGGATGGATAGAGGGAAATGCATACCGTGCGATAGGGAGAGCGGTAGGTAGTGAGATGCGCGAGCTACTGCGGCGAGATTTCGGCATCAATGTCCCGAAGTTTCTCGCTCTGGATAAGGCAGTCCCACACCGCTCCCGCGCATCTCTTGTGAAACCAAACAGCAAGAAGATGACAACGGACAGCAGTACACCAAAAAGTTGGTTCCAATATATATTCACAGACCATGCAACAGATATCCGCCACTCGTCACTGGACACGGCCTGTGGAGCCCACCACTCCTTGATTGTATTCCAGCCAGGCCAAAATTCGTCACCCGATGTCGACATCGCAGGTGTTGGCACACCTGGGACAAAAGGGACGATCCCGAGAGGTAGAACAAGGACTGTATCGATGCATGCAAGCGTGAACAGTCGCCTGTAGTGCGTGCGCTGAACTTGATCGCCGTTGTACTGTAGTAGCTTCAGTTCTCTTGTTGTGCGTCTGTGGCGATGAAGGCGTGTGACTATGCGCCCTGTGACTGCATTAGCTGTAATGCTCGCAGATAGAGAATATGTAGGGACACACATCCGTACAATGATGTTGACAAGATAGGGAAAATGATCGGCCAGCTTTGCAATAGGATGACAGCAACCCAGCATGGGTATATATAGGTACTAGGGCCGTAGTTCTCAATAACTTGAAACCGTGCAGCTTGCACGAGGTAGTCTGTCCGAAGGTGATCCCAAGTCGGTGTGCACAAAGGCATACAATAAGGCAATACACTTACAGACAGACATACTGAGCAAGGGTAAACCGAGACCCAAGAGATAATCAACGAGAATGCCATCATGCGTCTACTCAAACCATTCAGTATTATCAGAACCAGTTACCAAAGAGCATATAATAGTGCCCAACCTTCTTGCGGCCTGAGCCTGGGTTTGCCCGAACAGCGAGCCAAAGACGGCGAGTGATCACAAACGAGCAGGCAGGTATCCCGATTGTCAACCCTATCCATAGATGCGACGCTGATAGACTTTGGTCAATAGGCTTTGCTGTCACCAGAAAAACATGGACGCACAGATGTCGCAGAATACGGGCATCTCAATCCGCCACGATTCTCTCCATACGATGGATTGTATGGCCATAAGTGTGTCTTGAACTAAAACCCATACACACAGCATAACAACACCACGGTTACTACGTGCTTCACGAAGGACGATGGATATGAGTGTGAAGCTGAGCAAACATGCGGCCAGGACGTTTAATATGGGTACTAGAGGATAGGTTGGATCCTTCATGATCGTGACAGATGAGCAACTAGGACTCGTATGGGCTAGGGAAGTCCGAAAGAGATATGAGACCAGGAACTCGCAGTTGTCGGAAAGGGACACGTACGCACCTCGAGATGCTACCGTTGACACGGTCACAAAAAAGCTCACAGTATATTGGCGGCAGATAAGGTCCCAAGGTTTAAGTAGTGCAGGCTGCTTGTTCCGAAGAAGGGACGTGCCCAACATTCCGCATCATATCATGAACGCGACATCGGCGGCGGCGTAGGCGGGTCAGGCCTCGCGGCGCGGTTGTGCATGCATGTACATCGTGTTACAACAGCCTCATGCACACATGTAGAAGTACGACCCACCAAAGGAGCTCGGAATGTGTGAAGGCCTATGATGCATCATGCACTTCCTGCTGCCAGATGTAGACGGAACGCCGCGGAATCATGTCTAGCACGGCGCTTTATGCCTATTCGTGTTGGATCTCTTGGCATTGTATCCCTTATGGCCCAGTATAGCCCGTTGTAGCCCGTTATATCCCGAGGAGCAAACGGCCGCTGTGAGCGCACCGCGTCGGGTAGGCTGCTCCACCAAACCTCAAAGCAGTCGACCCCAGACATATGATGGACGCCGGAATGATCGCGTGGGGTGTGCGAGCATCAGTACTTTTGAGAGCCTGAATCCATATCCAATCTGTCCGGCAAGATATCTGACAGTAAGAGGTCAAAATGATAAACGTCGACGTGGTCGTCAAGGTCATGACCGGCGCGGCTTTGGCTTCGGAGCAGCCAATGCCATGAGCCGGTTAGGACCGACTCGAGTCCGCCGACACGCCGCGCCGCGCAGCGCCGTCGGCCGTCTCTTGCTCTCGAACACGTTGTGCATACAGAGCCTAGTTAGCGGAGCGTTTTGTGGCCTGGACTCAGGAGAGGTCGCTCGTGTACGGTCTCTGGTAGTGGTAGCGAGTCGCCCGCTCCGGCCTTCCGGTCCGAGTTTCACCGGTCGCAACTTGTGGCGCTCGGTGATAGCGTTCCTGTCACTCTTGTCTCTAACCCTGACCACGACTTGCTTTAACACACGGCGCGGGCATCAAGCGTCTCCGTAGGGTCACTTCTGTGGCTTGCTAGCGTGCTGTTACATTCAAGCCCTGACAGCCGGCATGTTGACCCGCCGTTCTGAGCGGCTGAGCAGCAAGGCAACATCGGCGCCGGCGTTCACATCCAACGAGTGCGCAATCACGCCTAATGATAATCACTTTAAACTCTTACTACTGTATCCTTAGGGTCGAAGACCGTGGCCACGAGGAAAGCGACTACCAGGAGAGTGATGGTGAAGGCGGATACGATGAGCCTGAGTACGCGCCGTCCAGCCAAGGTGCGAGGTTGAAGTCTACGGTTTTGCGTGTCAAGCTACTTACTCTTTCCTCCACAGGCCGACCGAAAGTATCATATAGTGCACGTCGTCAAGTACGTGCGCGTAAATCTGACTCTACGCCAGCGAAGGAGTCTGCTACCGGGAAGGCTACGAAATCGACTGGGCGTTCTCGTCTCCAAGGCCAGCTCCGAAACATCACGACCGTTCCTATCGATGTACTCTTGGAGGTATTATACTTGCTATCACGTCAGCCCTCTGCATCTGGTTTACTCATATGCAGATATGCCTTCAGGCGAGCCGATTGAGCTCGTGTCGCTCTCTCAGACCAGTCGATTCCTTCAAAACCTGCTCTTGGACAGCCGTCATCTCTTCATATATAAGACTGTGCGGGAGAACGCGTCTGGTCTACCTCCACCCCAACCACCGATAGGAATGTCAGAGATGAGCTGGGCTCGCCTGCTGTATGGTGGAAACGGCTGTAACGTATGTAGTGTTACTATCGTGACGTGAACTCTACTCATGTTTCATCAGACTTGCAATAGGCACGTACCTCACATCGATTTTGGCTTACGGCGGCGAGTCTGTGTGGGATGCAGGAGAAGCTAGTGAGCGAGCGGCCGCCTCACAGTTCTCGAGCGTTTCTGACTATATCATCTGAAGTCAATTCTGGGAGTCTCGATTCAAGAGTTCTTGCCCTGGTATGGACGCCTATATGATGAATCTTGTGGGATTCTCCCGCAGTAAGTTCTCATTTTGCGAAGCTTCGCGCAAGCGCTGATCGTATGCTTTGTTCGTCCAGTCGGCGTAAGCTCTCGGGGTCACGCTTCTGAGAATCAACGATTCTACTGGAAACCTGACTTGGATGATATGGATGCGCGTATCGCACGATTGGAAAGAAGAGAAGGGACGCGAGCTGCCGACGAGTTCTACGAGAGGAGGGTGGCTCTGGTGGAAGCGGCCATGCAGGTAAGAACACAAGCATTTAGAGAACAACTCTGGACTTTCTCCTGACCATGCACCTTCCAAATACCAAGGAGATTCCAGCTCTGAGTGCATGGGAGAAGAAATGGATCGAGCGCAAGTCCGAAGACCAAGGCGTCGCCGAGATGAGACGCTATGAAGAGTGCGTCTATCACTACTTAATAGTTCGGGACGGTATTCTATTAGAGATTCTAACCATCAATTTGCTCAGGATCGTGTCGCGCGCAGTCGCAGCTGGATACGACCGACGCGATATACCCAGCCGATGGGGAATCGATTGGGCCGTCTCGGGCAAACCGGAACTTACGGATACAGGTTTGTGCGCCACTTATACATCGGTATCGTCCAGCCACTCATGAAATGCAGCTTGGAAGCGACTCTTGCCGAGACTCCAGAAGGCGATCGCTGAAACCCGCGAGTCCCGCCTGAAGGAGGAGAGAAAAGCGTGTATTCTCAAACGATGCTCCACTGCGACGGAACTTTATCGGAAGTTCTTGCACACCCTTACACCCATCCAATGGCGATATCTTCCGACTCCCAATCATATACTCTACACCTCTTGCAGTGGTCTAGCCTGCTTCCGCGATCTTCTTGCAATGCAGGACGAGCCCTCTGAGCAGCAATGGGCGGCCGCTGCAGAGCAACTCCCCAAGGAAATGTCGACGCATCTGTCCTCTTATATCAGCGCCATGGATGGCGGAGATTCACCTCAGCATTGCTCGTCAACTACCTCTGAACTCCTTCTCATGTCGGCTGGGTCCGATGCCGCCACTTTGGACCAGCTCTGCGAACGCTTCTCGTCTCTCGACTACGCCCGCACGGTACTTGTGCGTCCCGGCCAGTTGCGGTCTGGCTGTGACGTCTGGCACGCTTGGTATCGGTGGGGCGATGATTTTCAGACATTCAAGCGAGGATTCTCGTCTCAGGGATCGGACGCGCTGAGCGCTATCGCAGCCCTACTAAGAAAGGATGTCAACACGGTGACGGCAACGGAATTAGACGTCTCGTCAGGGGACGTATCGTTTCGGTGCGCTCATTGTCCTGGGACACACGTCGGATGGAGAAGTTGGGTAAGTATTCACGTTCGATTACGCCCAGGAGCGAGCTAAGACTTAGCTTTAGGTAGACCATTGCATACGGTCGCCAAATTCAGAGCACAATCCAATACTCGTGGCCCTTGATCCAGATCAAGCCGTGCATGATAGTGCCAAAGATGCTGGCCATGAGCAATGGGCTTGCGCCCATTGTGATCACTACTGCGTCCGGCTCGACGGGTATGACTACGAGAACAGACCTATATATCGAGCCGATTTCGGATCATACCCTGAGCTCGAGGAACACAAGGCAACGTCCGTCATCACTATCTTTATCTATATCCTCGAGGCTCACGTTTCTTGTAGTCATGGTATACCCTGCCCATCGGAGTTCTACGACATCTCCTACTATATTGGTTTTCATGGCAAGGCACGACCTGCCACGACCGTGTCTACAGGAGCCGCGTGATAGAGATGCTCTACTCTGCAGTCAATATCAATCAAATTCTCGGTACACGCGAGCATGACGATGGCAGTATGTACTATGTATAGCATGTGTTCTTGCGATTTTGGGTTTCAACCAAGTACATCTATCTAATACATAATATCTTGAGCACTTCCTCCGAGGAGGTAACGTACAGCCGCATGAATAACTCTACTATGATCATGACACCGTTCTTCCGGTACTTACATGTACGCGTCCGCGATTTCTTAGTGCCCCAGCGCATCGCGACGCCGTGGTGGTGGATAGTACCATATCGATGTCCTTCATCACGCATCCAGACTCGCTGTGACTCCCGTACCGAATCTTCATCGTTTCTGCGATTTTAATATTTCGAGATCATGGTGGCTCAGGGCTCACATGTGTGAATGGACTGACGAAGGGCGCACATCAGTCTCGTGGCCTACGGCGTCTACGCCACCCTGTCCCAGGCGCATTATGACCTCAAGGCCAGCACAAAGGCTTCACGCGATCCACGACCATGCCTACCCTCCTCTACATCGAAGAGTCCTGCACAGTATGCGCCGAGGATTTCTGCGTGGATCGCAAGATACACAATCTCAAATGCGGACATGTCTTTTGTCGTCCGTGAGTCCACCGGCTGAGCGTTCTCGCCGGACATGGCACGCGCGATGGTCGAGTACTGAGTATTGCGATAGGTGCCTAAGCAATCTGAATCCAAGCCTATGCCCCGTCTGCCGGAAGTCGTTCCGCCAGAACGAGATCGAGTGCGTCGGACCGTGGGAGAGCGATCCCAGCCCGGTACAGACCGACGATAAGTGGGACGACTGGCGGGACGTGCTTGACAGGATCGCGCTCATGGGGATCGAGGACGACACTTGGGTACCCTCCACCGCTGATCGCGAACAAGACTACGGGGTGCGCGAGGAGTTGGGCTTGCCGCGGGACAGGGGAGAGGAGGATTGGAACAGAGATGCATGGCTGTCGCCGAGCGGTCACCCGTTTGCAAGCGTATCGCTGGATTCTCCTTCGTCCATCGAGTGGGCGCCAGGGGTGACTCTGTCGGATAGGGAGTATGCGGAGGACTCCGCGGCATGGGCGGCGATAGCGTTGCGACCGCGAGCGGGTGGAAGTTCAAGCGCCGGTGGATCTCAACGGATGTCCATAGGACGCGACGAGAAAGGCGGATCATGCGTGATATGTTGAACCTTGCACGAAGATGTGACATCTAGTTCCCCTTCACCACTTCCGCGCCATAGGGGTGCAAGATGAATGGACATCATGGTGGTTGACGAGAGACCCGCGCCAGAGGCAGGCTGCGGTCCCGGCGTGTTATCTTACGACTTTCGCGTTTCCTTCACGTCGCACCCCGACGGCTTCGAGACCCGTATACTATAGGACACCGACCTCTTTCATCTGTCCGTCCGTAGCTTACTTCTATGTATTATACTCGGCTTGCCGGCATCCAGACTTGTTTGCGTGTCGTTTGCCTTTGGATAGTGTTGGTACTCCTGCTTCAGTATACTACTAAGCCTGAGACAAGCTGTATATATACACGACATTTATATTCGTGCAGATCGGACATGGATGCTGTCGGGGGTTTTTCTGGGAAGACAAGATAAGCAGGCAGCTTTACTGTCCGCGTCACGCCCTATGGGTCAGCTAGGGACCCGAGACGACTGGACGACCGAAGTCATCGCAGTTTGAGGCAGGATCGGGCGTGGCCGACGTTCCCTCGGCGAACGAGATTGAAAGCAGGAAACTGAATACGACCGCGGGTACTGCGTCAGTGTATCAGCGCCCAACGTCAAGGGCTCGAGTTCTTTCAAACCCCACGCCGTGTTTCTCTCACGATCAACGCCTGTCGAGCGGTTCGGCGTCGTCCATCTCCTGTTGCCCTTATCGGTACCGGCGCATAACTCATGGAGTTGACTCTATGCCGTTCAGTTACTGAAGGGAGATGATAGCACAGAGAGGAATGGGTCCGTCATGAGAGGATCAATATCTCCGCCCACACTCGGCCTCGAGCAGTCGTACGTCGACACAAAGGCCGCGCACCGCACAATCTCTATGCGGTTTCCCGGATATCCTGTAGCCATCTACTGTACTCAGCATGAGCCTATGCATTGAATGGTACATCATAGAAGGTACCATACCTGATGAGACTACTGGCATTCTCCGACTTCGCATAGTGGGGTCTATTACACTCTTGCGATGCGCCAGCGGTATCGCAATGGACTGGCTCAACCCGGGAGGAGTTAGACGTCATAGGTGTTGAGGTTCTGTGCGTAGATCACTCAACAAGCAACATTCAGTACTTCGTACACTCGCATATCACGTACCCTGTGCTTAGACTGTGCGAAGGAGCCACACCGGGGCCCTCTTCTAGTCTGGCACTTGAGTGGGCCTTAGGTCGTCTAAAGTAATTTGCGATGGCGAAGAACATGTGCCGGTAGGAGTCTCGTGCATCTGATGTAAGGCCAAAGAGAGCAAAGATCACAAAAGCGGGGGCGGGTGTTGTCCAGATTTCCCAATAGAAGCTGACTATGCTGTATGTACCTCCAGAGACGATGTCTGTATATGGAACTTGAACTACAGTCCAATGGGAGTGTACGGCATTCCAGCCAGGATAGAAAGATAGGGACCGCAAGTCACGCACATTGGTGTGCAACTCCAAAGCAATGGATACGAGCCCCATAGGCAGCAATAAGAGGATGTCGACGCTGGCGATTGCGAGCACGCGCATGTAAGTTCTCCGGGATATTGCATCGCTGGAGCCAAGGAACCGATCAATCTCTCTACTCTGAGTGTAGAACGTCCATATGACCTTTGCTGGTACAAGATGTCAGTACTGATACCCGGGAAGAACCAGACTTCCAAGACTCACGATAGTATATCACCACGGATATGAGCGGAGGCAATATCGTCCATACTTGGGCCAGTACAAAGGCAAGAATTGAGTGTGAAAGCTCGTCGTTGAAACAACCGAGGCCTTCAATCACCTCAAAGCGCGCTGTCTGTACAACGTAGTCTGTCATGAGGTGAGAACAGGTGCATCAATGGAGTGGATTGATCAACTGACAAAGAGGCCCAGCGCTCACGAGAGGCCAGATAAGTCCGCACGTCCACTCAACAACATTGTCCCATAGCTTCTGCAAGGTGCTCCAGTTAGCGTCTACGGTCAGAACATCACGTCTCTACCGGAGACCTACTGCTCTCCTGCTGATAGGGGCGATGGATCGAAGATTGGCGATGAGATATAGCCTACGTGTGATGAGCAATGGAGCAATGTTCAGGCCGACGAGCACAGCGGTATTCAGTCGGGAAGCTGAGGAAGTAGACAGCATTAGGTTTGAGCGTACTGGCCGAGTGAGATTACGCACTGATATCACACCAAGTGTACATTTTGGCCTGAGCATTGTCAGACCAAGATACGGCGTTTACGGCGCAGATGACATTCTCAAGACAGAGCCAGATGCACAAGAGGGCGACCCCGATGTTCCAGCTATGGCGCACGACACTCGTTATGAGAACAAGTAGCATCATGATGGTGGCGAGTGTGCAGGCGATGGGGTACGCGGGATATGTCGGGTCGACCGCTGTCATACTCCTCTGTAGCTCTGATCGTCCGTCAGCCACGATATTCTAGATAGAGCAGGAAAGCGTCACGCTACCTTACGCGCGAGACAATTCCAAGAAAGCAAGAACCCGCGAGCTGAAAGTGGCGCCTGTATGCCGGAGATGAGCCTGTTATGCGATACCCACTGAGGACAAGGAGAGCCTTGACGATGATCACCGCTTCTTGCGCTTGATTCGGGTAGCGGGTGCATTCGATCCTCGGTACGTAGTCGATCCGAAGGTTATGTAGAGCATCGCATGATGAGGGATCACTCTAGGAAACGCAAATGGTGAGTGTCAGCAACTATAGGGGGGGCGTACAAGGCGTTGCGGGATCCGCATAGCTTCCCTTCCAGCATGGACGCCGATAGATAGTGATAGGAACACGAGATCCGAACTCGGCGCGGCCTCGTAGAGCCGATATTCGAGATACTTAGGATGTGGCAGTTCCTCAAGACAGATTCCAACATGCATGAACGCTTGATCTACCGAGTTCACCGCATTATAGCATCGAATTTGGGGCGATATGAGGAAGAGCCACAAACAAATCTGCTTGTTGGCGTGCACGGCCCGACATGCAACGCTGAGCTCGTCGTCGTCTGCGAGCTGCCAGCTGTCGCGGGCACCAGCGCGTCGTTTTCGGCGATCAAATTCACACGCGGCGACTCAAGCGCGCACAACCTGTCCCCAACGCCGATGCCCGCTGAAGCGGTAGCACCCCTGATGGATATGCATGTCAGCATTGAAGAAGGTCGACAGCGGCGGCCACGAATAAGGCAAAAGCGGAGCATCACTCGGCGTTCCCGTTGGGTCGGAGGTCGCTGTAACTGGACTAGTGCCCGGGCACACACCTGTCCACACCTACGACGATGAAAGCGCCAGTCCTGGCGATCAATCCACGCTCGGGCCCGAATCCGTGTGGGACGAAGGACTATTGTGCGACTGCTTGGGATACGCGAGCTCGATGAGGGGTCGGGAGAACGGAGAAGTGGAGGCTGTTGTACTTGTGCCCAGTCTGTCCACATATCGCTGTATGGCTGCCATTTACGAATCATGTATGACTTTCACGGCTCAGCCATACATGTAAAGTCCTTGTTTGAGCAATACATCTACTCATATCGACGCGAAAAGATCCCCGAAACGTTATGCCGCCGCTACTCCTCCAACGTCCAGCGACCCGGCTATGCCGGTGTCCTCCTCGACCTTTTCCTCGACAACTGACGCGCTATCGAGTCGCCTACGTCGATCGTCAAGATTGCGATCACCAGTCCAAAAGGGCGCGTATGTGTACCCTGTACCATAAGAAGGACTGACGGGGCATTCGAATTTGTCCCTGTCGGTCTTCGGGGTTGGTACGCCGGACGTATCTTTGGTTCCACGTTCGGCGCCGGGCTCGACACAGGCACTACTGATACGCACGAAGCTCGCAGTGCTGCCTCGCGGCGGTCAGCGTCCGATGACTACAGACGCACGAAGCGCACGCAAGCACGGACCTGATTCCCGAATCCAGCGAGGTCCCCTCCGCTAAGCGCCCGCCAAACTCAACGATGCACAACTCCGGGTCCGCGCGCTTATCCGCCGGCTCCCGCCCAAACCATCCGCTGATGGTACACCCGATGTGCCAGTAAGATGTGCGAGCTTCCTTTGTCAAGCCGAACAAACCGAAGATGACGAAGGACTCTATAGGTGTGGTCCAGAGCTGGATGTAGTATGTGGCTACAGAGTACGCCCCTCCAGATACGGCCTCCGAATATGTGAAAGTCAAGATGGTCCAGTCAGAGTGCACGGCTTCCCAACCGGGGTAGAAGGGCAGAGATCTCAGATCCCCTGAATTTCGAAGCAGAAAGGCGAAAAACACCAATGCGAATGGCAACGTCAACAGGATATCCATGCTACCGGCGGCTAGAACATGCAGATATCCTGTGCGTGAGACTGAATCATCACTGTGCAAGAACTCATTGATGTCCTTGTTTTGTCGGTAGAAAATGTATGCGACCTTCGCTGGAGCACTACGTGAGCATCTCGGCTCGGTTGGTCCCTGAACTTGGCGATGCTTACGGTAGTAGACCAGTACAGAGATGAGCGGCGGAAGGAGCGCGTATATTTGTGTCAGCAGTATGGTCAGTATGGACTCAGTAACGCCATTTGTGCACCCATAACCTTGGATGATGTTGAAGCGCGTGGTCTCCAGGACGTAATCTACGGTGGGATGAGGTTGAGGCTAGGCAAGTGGACACCGCCTAGTGAACGCACAGAGAGGACCAGCTGCTACAAGGGGCCATACGAATCCAAGCGTCCACTCTATGATTCGATTCATGCGCTTCTGCGACGAACCACGACCTGCTTGAGTACCAGATGTCTCTGTCCAAGCTACCAAAGGTCATACCGCTTTTCTGTCGGGTAGACTCAACGATCGCAGGCTAGCGATCTGATAGAGGCGACGTGTGATGAGCAAAGGTGCCATATTCATCCCAACGTCAACGGCAATATTGAGACGAGTGACTGGTAGCATGGCCATCAGCTCCTCGCAAACACACACAAAACAGAGCGTCTACCAATATCACACCAAATGAACAGCTTAACATCGACGTTATCGGACCATGCTGTAGTGTTGACGACGTTCCCCACGTTTTCGAGGCAGAGCCAGACGCATAGGAAAGCGACACCAAGATTCCAGTTCTGTCGGACGAGGCTGGTTAGAAGGACGAGCGATAACATCGCAGCACCCAGTGCGGAAGCAATGGGGAACGCAGGGTAGCTTGGGTCTCCTGCAGTCATACGGGCAGATTACCGTGAGGTCCCAAAGGTTTGGGGCGTGATATAGTTGTGCGGCCTATACTAGGGATACCATCGCCGTCCTGTGGTCCTGCGTACGATTACCAGACACCACTGCCTTGTATCATCGGTGCATCCTCTATCTCGCTTCATCAAAGTCAAGAGATCGTCTCTGGCGGGGCTCAGCCACGCAGAAAGCCAGGTCCATACCTCATGACTCAAGCTCAAGGGTGGATCCATATTTCGAGTCCCCACCTCACGATGTTCACAGCGATGGCCTACAAAGACCGACGCAAAGCTATGATAGGAAAGAGCAGTAAGTCGGCCAGCATATTTTGACTGATGTCCGCTAGGCAAGAAAATAGAAAGGAGTGCAAATCGCAAGGCTGCCTGACGACCGCAGGCTGTGATTGCGAGTCGCACGATACGCTTTCTTCATCATTCTGCCACAATCCGTGTGTAAGAATCAAGAGGGCGAATAAGGCCGATCATGGAAGGAGCCCGGGGCTTATATTTCCGACCGCTTCTTGGCCCATATCACAGAGGTTTTCAGTGACGCGGGCGAGCGGGCTGAAGGCCTCGCTGTGATGAGCGCAGCGAGTACATTCCCACTGCGCCCAAAATGGCTATACATGGAAGACCAGCCTTGCGAAATTTTGGACGCGCAAGCAGAGGGGGCTTGATAAAAGCAGTGTAACGGCAGCAAAAGCACGAAGTGATCAGCTTCGCGCGAGCGGTGTGAACACATCTCTGAAGGGTTATCATATATTGATGCGATCGCGCAGGGTGCAGGGTGAACTTCGGTGAACCAGTTCGCCGTGGATCTGCAAATATACATGTGGTGATCGTTCACGCACATGACAAATGCCACATATACAGCGCGCGGCCTCGCAGTCGGGGAACACTTGAGAACTGGGGGAACGCGCGGTACCGCGCTCCGCGCCGCGCTCCTCGCCGCGCCGCGGTGCCGCGACTTCGAACCGTTTTGAAAACGGCGCGGCGCGGCGCGGCAGTTTTGAAAATAATCTCAAGTCGTACGACGCGGCGTGTCTGGGCTGGCGAGCTGTACATCGTATACGGCGCCTTGTACAGTATACTTTGACGTCGTAATTCGCGTACAAGTAGGATACCTTCAAATCTCAATATATCTCGT